AGTAAGGCACCTGTTACTAGTAGCGATGCACTTGTTTCTACTAGCTTTTTGTTTCATCATCAATGCCCAAAAGTTTATCCACGGTTTACACTGGTTTACATGACGCCTCCAAGGCTGCTGGCATCCCAACTCGTCTGGCTGCGACAGCACGGCTCCTCATTGGTGTAGGGCTCGAAGGTAATCTCTAATCCTTCCAAGGGCTGTTTTGAGTCTAGCATCTCCTGGCTGCACTTGGCTGGAAGCGCAAATAGAAGGAAGATCATCTGCCTTCGTTGGAATGGGGGATGTTTGGGGAAGAGAACCGTCGTCAACCTCAGGCATATATGCAGTATATATATATAATACATGTTCTACAGGAAACTATGTTATATGATATACGTATATACATATGTCACAGTGTCTATATATATATACTGTATAGGCAGGCCTGCGTACAGATCTGAAGTGCAGCTTTTCCAAGTCCTGCTGTTTTTGGGACCCAACAAAAGTCCTTGTTTTGGGGTGCTTGGCTAGTCGACCACCGGCGTCGTGCGTCGCCGTGTTGTGGCGATCTCCTGTGGCAACGAGCTGGGCAAGAAGAAGAGATCCGCTTGACCCGCAGCTTCGATGAAGCCATAGCCCTTTGGCGGCGCTTCGGCTTCGGCTTCGGAGGACGATCAACAGAGATGGATAACCCATCTTGGCAAATTTGATTGGGCAGGTTATGAAGTCGACGGAAACGAGCAAAATGAAGATTGAACATTAATTATCTTCGGATCTGTATCTTGGGGTTCATCAATGGATTTCAATATTGGGGTACGCAAGGACGCTACTAGGTAGAGGCCATCGCTATCAGGTTGGAGGCCATCGCTACTATGAACAAGAAGCTACTAGTATCATTTTTTTTAAGCTTCTCCCCCACCGGTGCAGGTAGGAAGGGACGGGGACGCAGTCATCCGGCTCTACACGCGGCTCTACACCGAAGCAAGACGTGCCTTGGAGGGGTAAAAGCTCCGTATACGTCCCTGGCTGAGGCTATTTCGGCCTGACATCGAGACAACTGCGAACAGGGCCAAACTGCAGAATCTCTGTTTCGATATCCCGGTTTGATGCAGACAGCGGAGGCTGCAGTGCCAGGTTGATTGATTTTGTTGGAGTTTTGTCACTTCAAAGTAATGGGAAACTCACCAAACTGACAAACTTCCCTGCGAGATTCCAGCATCAATGCGATTCATGACCTGGACTGTACACATTTACTTTCATCAAAGCATCCTGCTCACCCACTTCGCAAGACTGAGCCCACGCCTCCAGGTCCATGTGCATGCGGCGCCGCATGCACGTCACGCCGCGGCATCCCTCCCCCCGCGGGGATCACCCCTCGGTGCGGGCCAGGGCCGCCGCCCGGGCCGCCCGGGCCGGTCAGGAAGCGCAAGCGCTGGGCTCGGAGCTTTCCGTTGTCCATGGTCTTGACCTGGGATGCTCAGAGCGAATGCGTTTTGGATCGGGCGGCGGGCTCAGGTCAAACGTTGAAGGGTGTCTGAAGAAGAACTTTCGGATGGCTGTAAGAAATACAGATACAGGACCTTGCAAGCTCAAAAAGATTAAAAAATGACACCAGCATAGACCCAGATAGCTAGGCAGAATCCCACGACCTGTTGACATGCGACTGGCTGGACCAAGAATGCACGCAGCCTGCACAGCCAGCTTACGGACCTCCACAGCGCGCGCAATCAGCTGACACCAGCACCGGTGCGCTTTGCTAGCTGACAACACCGGCAGCGGCGCCAGCACCCGACCAGCGCCGCCGCCCGTCCGCGCGCTCAGCCAGCTCACAGCACCAGCACCCAGGACCACAGCACCAGCACCGCGCGCAGCCAGCTCATTCTTATTTGCAGCAAGAAGCCCCATAGCTATCCCTATTTGGAGAATAACATAAGTGTCATTGGCCCAAGGCCAAGCAGTATCCAGCGCCACTGTTGACTTTGTAGCATGCTTGAAGCAACGATCTGCAGAATGATAAGGCCGTATGATCTTGCGCGTACAAGTTTATGCGCACAAAAGTATGCGCACAAACGGCAAAGCCCGTAGGCTTCACTCGCCCGAGGCCAAGCAGTATCCAGCACGACTATTGTGTGTGTAACAGTGTAGCATGCTGAAACATGCTGAAACAATGGTCGGTTGAGAGCCTGACGTTGCGCATAGAACATTATACGTACAAAAGTATGCGCGCAAACAGTACAGCCCTTGACACAGCTGTCGGCCAAAACAGAACCTGAAGAGTGTAAATACCCTACAGCGCTAATAGACAAAGAACGCTCAAGCGACAACACTGTATGATGTTGCGTGCATAAGTTCATGCGGCCCATGACTGCTGGCACTTCATTGTCAGAAGCGGTGCTCGGTCGCCCTTCACTGCTGCAAGCGGCGGTTTGTTACCCTTCACTGTGAGAACCAGCGCTTTTTATAACTTCACTGTCAGAAGCGGGCACCAGCACCAAGCACCGGCATGCCAGCTCACGGCGCCCAGCGCCGGTGTACCCAGCATACCCAGCACCAGCACCCGGCACCCAGCACCCGCACCCAGCACCCGGCACCAGCGCCGGCACCCGGCACCAGCACCAGCAACCTGTCTCCACCACGTGCACAGCCAGCTCACAGCCACGTGCACAGCCAGCTCACAGAAACAGCACCAGCGCCAGCACGTGCACAGCCAGCTCACAGCACCAGCACCAGCGCCGGCACCCGGCACCCAGCACCCAGCACCAGCACCGGCACCCGGCACCAGCACAGCAACCTGTCTCCACCACGTGCACAGCCAGCTCACAGCACCAGCGCCAGTACCGGCACCCAGCACCAGCACCAGCACCAGCAACCTGTCTCCACCACGTGCGCAGCCAGCTCACAGCACCAGCACCAGCACCCGCACCCGGCACCCGGCACCAGCACCGGCACCCGGCACCAGTACCAGCAACCTGTTTCCACCACGTGCACAGCCAGCTCACAGCACCAGCGCCAGCCGGCACCCAGCACCAGGACCGGCGCCAGCAACCTGTCTCCGCCACGGGCACAGCCAGCTCACAGCACCAGCACCAGCACCGGCGCCCAGCACCAGCAACCTGTCTCGAAAGCGCGCACGGGCAACTCATTGTTGTTTGAAGTAAGAACCCCATAGCTTCGCTATTTGGGGAAAAAAACAGTTCGCTGAGTGTCCTTACCGCCATGGAGTTTGAGGGTGTTGGCTTCGTTTGGAGTATATCTATAAGATATTATGTGTATAATATATACCCTAGAAGTCGAACCACCATTTGTTCAATAGCCTTTACTGAACAGCCAGTGTTTTTCTAAGGGTTTTTCACTACAAAACCAGATCAGCCATTTAAGAGAATGGTCTTGGACTCCCAGGGTATACGTGTATCATGTTCTATTATGGCGAGCAGTTATATCATTGAAATATGTGTATATGTGCAGGAGTTGTGCAAGCTCCTCCAAGCTCTCTCTACAGTATGGTCCTTCCACGCTTTCCAAAAAGCGCCAGTAGGAGCTCGAGGCCCACAAGACCAGCTTTTCGTAGTTGCCTAGTAACAAGAAGCTACTAGGGGCTCCTGGCATCGCTACTAGGAGCAAGGACGCTACTAGGGGCTCCTGGCCGTACTACTAGGAGCAATGTTCCCTACTAGTAACAAGATGCCGTGGCTCTTCACCCGAAAAGCCCGGTCCCCGGAGTCGGCCGAAGAAAGCCGAAACATAAACGGCGCTCGTACGAGGAGTGTGCAAAGCTTGGTGACGGTGAGCTGATCATTCTTACAGCGTACGACTGACAAAAAGCAGAAAGGATCAGGCCGAGTATTTCGACCCTAAGTTTTCTTGTTTGCAAACCAACAAAAAGTGTGGTGCTGTTGACTAGTGACTAGAGGTCAATCGAAGCTCCGAGGGGAGTCCGTGTGAGATGGTCTGTCTGGTCATCGCTGGGTCTGGATACTCCCATCCCCAGGAGCCTCCTATAGGCATCAGGCAAAGCGAATGATTAAAGGAATCGGGGGCCTGCTGTCTTCGACCTCTTCTCAAACTTCAAATGGGCAAGATCCACAGTGGACCTTTCGCAGCCTTGAGGGCCAATCTTCCTTACCAAAACACCGAGCCAACCCGCCCTCCCGGTCCGGAAGTGGCGTCCCGTGCGGCTGGGCTTTCGAAGAGTTCTCATCTTCCACAACCCGCCCCCCCGCCACACTTCTATAGTTGCCACGACCTCGACTAGATCGGGGGAACCTGCTTTACCACCAATCCACCCGCTGAAAACACATCGTCTGCCTCAAAGTCCACACGGCGGTCAACAACCTGCCAAGGTCATCCCAAACAGTTCTGTCGATGAAGGAGCTCGGAAGTGTCTCGACTGTATGGCGAAGGGATGGGTCCATTCTCTAAACTCGACCACACCAAAATCTTGGAAAAGTCCCTATAAACACAACTCACAACATGAAACAAGTTGTCGACCTCAAGCTAATCTGGTTCGGCTTTCAGTTGTCATTATACATTATGGCTCTAGAGGTGCCAAGAAGGAAGAAGAAAAGGGGGCGCCATGGTTCTCCGTATATGCAACTCTCCAGGATGGGTAGGCAAGTTTTTCCTTCAGCTTTTCGCATGACTTACCCAGTGCACCTAGGAGCTCCCACTGGTGGATTCTGGGTGAATTCTCACCTTGCAACACCGAACAAGGAGACCATCATTAACCAGTGGCAGCCAAATGCATAATGTGAAGTTGATGGAGCCAAAAATAATCAACCACGTCACCTACAACTTCTCCTTCTTTTGGGTCTGACATCAAAATGCCCCCCAAAAAAGAAACATAGAAAAAAGAAACAAGTGTCAGGTAAGTTGTTCAGCAGCGCCACAAAAAAGAACACACAGACCGTCCCATCGATCCGGTGACCGTCGTCCCACCGTCAACACCTCGCGCCTGGTCGCGGCGCGGCTCGATGCCGTCCAACTCCGGCGGGAGCTCGCTCCTGGCGATCACGGCGTCCGATCACGGGCCGTCGCACGCGTCGCCCGCATCGGAAAAAGGGCTTCTTGCTCCTAGTAGCGATGCCAGGAGCCCTAGTAGCGTCCTTGCTCCTAGTAGTAAGGCCAGGAGCCCCTAGCTTCTTGTTACTAGTAGGTACGTCTTCGAACAGGTGGAATTCCAGGTTTTTTCGGGGTCGCTCTTTGATGCGAACGCGATGCGATGAGTGCCCAGCCGAACTCCCCTGATATGTCACGTCCACTCACACGTCGCAAACTGTCTTTTTGACGATTCATCTTCGAAAGGAACCTGCGGGTTGGTGCTCAGAACTTGGGAGGGTAAGCAATCGTATAGTGCAGTCTAAGTAGTGCAAATGACATCTCCTTCTTCAAAAATATGTTTTGGGAGGTTATATAGAGTTTTTTCACATTGTGAAGCAATCCCCAAGTCTTTGGGGAGTAGCTGAAAGCAAGCTGAAAATGCACGTATGATGCCAGACCTGAACACAAATACTGGGTCAAACCTCCCAACGTTTCTTCTGGTGCAAAACCTCAAACTGAAGCGCCAGCTGCTTCCCCTATCCCGCCCACGTGGCCCAGACGTCAGACGAAAGGAGGTGAAGCAAGACATCAGGGCGGTGTGCCTTCTACGAAATGCATGGCATTTACTCATATAAACTGTAGAAAGACATGGAATTGATAGTGTATATTTGTATATATGATATATTTGCTCTTGCCATATGGAACTGATTGTATATAATATATATTCGAATGTGTACATGACACCATATGTATTCTTATCCGTTTTGTTGCATTCGACACAAACTCATCGATGTGGAGAACTGCGATGGTTCCCAAGCATCCAATCTGCAAAGCCCTTCCAACAATGATGATATGATATGATATGGAACTCTCTTTTGTAGAGGTCCTTGGTCTCCTTGTTGAAATGGAAGCGAAGAATACATCTTCTGGATGCCCACAGCACAAAAACCAGGTCTCTCAGCCTGCGGGCCAAGAACTCCACCGCTCCGCCCACGAGCCCCGGCCCGTCCTGAGATAAAAGATGTCTTCCCTCAAGTCATCCGGCAAGATGAAGCCGAAGCCCTCCGGAACGTCCGGTGTGGCGGGCGAGCAGAACGTGCACAAATCCAGGTGCGGGCTCAACTTCCCCCACTGCTGAGGAGCCATTGCGCCAGTTCTTGGGTGAACAACCGACTGGTTTTAGCTCAGCTGTCACTTGATGGTCGTAGAGACGAAATAAAGTAGCAAAAAGGAAGGAGCACCTACAGTCGGTTTCATCCATTGGCCAACATTCCATCTGAGAGGGTTCGTATACAAAAGTCCACCCACACCTGGGTTCATGACGGTAGAGAGCAGTGGGAAGCTTTACCAGACTGTGAACCATTTTGCAAAGCTATAGCACAAGGGCCCACCCTGAGCGAGAGATTCAACATGCTTCCATGAAGTGTAGCCCACTGGCAGCGCTTCTGGATGGGATTCGGTGGCAGGTCTCCCCTCAAAAGGCTGGAGCTCATGGAGGTATGTGCCTTGGGGTTCATGACACCCATGTCCACCAGAATAGGCTTTGACTCACATCCACCCATGAGATAAGGGACCCGATCTCAGAACTCTTTAACCACGCATCATCAACAAAAGGATAGTTTGGGATAGCTTGGGTTCCAATCTATTGACGAGAATGATGCTCCATCCACCCAACAGTACCTCCGACACTTTCTACCTCCCATCCATCTTTCCCGGTCCCAACTTGCTTAAAGACCCCCTTCCAATCAGTCTGACTCGTTCCCTTTTTCAGCTCTTCGGGCTCCGGCCATTCCAAGTGTCCAAGCTCACGTAGCTGGCCTTCGCGAAGGCGTCTTCCCAGACCTCAAAGCCTTCACCGCGGAGCCACCTCACCAGCTCAGCCCCACTACTCCCGCTGTCGTGCACCAGGCACGCGAGACACTCTAAACGCTGGAGCCGTGGAGAACGAAGGGATGCCACCGGGCGGTCCAGACCTGGAGTCGAAATGTGGGCCTTTTTGAAAGGTGTTGGTCCAATTTGAAGCTCCTCAAAATCATTGCCAAAAAAGGCTGTCAGTTTGGTTTTTGATGGTTTTTGCACCATTTCTTGGAAGGATTCCCCAACTCCCGACTATTTCAGGCCTTCCAAAAAAGCTCGGAGTTGCTCTGCCTCGGCCGCAGCTGGTGCGCCGGGCACCACCGGACCTGGACCATCTGGGTGCTCAGTAGCTTTGGTCGCTTCCGTCGCTTCCAGCTGCACTCGGTGGAGCGGTCTGGGCATGAAGGTGAAGAGGTAGTACATGGTGTCCCGTCGGATCTTACCCATCATCACCTGGAAGGCTTTGTAAGCCTCAAGCTTGTACTCCACCAAGGGATCTTTCTGACCATAGCTTCGAAACTTTGAATAGGTCCTCAAGAAGTTCATGTACTTCAAATGCTTTCGCCAGTAGTTGTCAATCTGCATCAAAAACACCTGTCGATAGACTGCCTTACTTAGTTCAGGCGCATCCTCGTCAATCAGCTCAGCCTTCTGTTCCATCGCCTCCAGGGCCTTCTGCTGCATCCACTCCCCCAACTGCTTCGCCCGCGCCGCGCCCGTCGTTCCGCCGCCCTCGGCCACCGCGCGGAGCTCGGCGGCGGTGGTCGCCCAGGAGTTCACGAAGACGGCGGAGAGTTTGAAGGCTAAGCGCTCCAAAGGCCAAGCATCCAAAGGCTCATCCACCTCAGCTAGGTTGATATAGGGGCTGATCTAGGGAGCTCGGGCTGGTGATCAGGTGGCCAGGTTGGATACAGGTGGGGTCTTTGATGCTAATCTTCTACGTAAATTGCTTTGGAGGGATCTGCAAAAGCCACAGCCACAGAAAGATTGTGTCTAATCCATCAAGACCCTGCACTCTAGCCTCACTTCACAGAGGAGTTTCCCGGAGTTTCCCCGTTTCAAGATACTCGCTTGCTTCGCAAAGCAAACTCAAGGTAGTTCTTATCAGGCTACCTTTCGTGACAACATCAAATTGCCGGAAGAGGGTCATTCACCATCTGGTCGACGAGCTCCACCATGGTCTCCTCAGGCATCGCCCAAGAGACATCATTTCTGACACCACAGGTACTATCTGTAGCGCCCCCCCTCCAAACTTTCAGGACAAAGAGTTGCCAGGGCAGAGAATCAACAGCATCCAGTAAATGACTTTGGAATGATTCTTGTACTTTGTGCTGTGTGCAGTCTTCTTCTGTGGTGTACAAAGTGAAATGTGCTTCTTGAAGTTCAAGGATTCAGAAGGGAAAACTAGAATATAGCTCTTTCATGCTCTTTCGATGTCAAGTAGTTGGTTGAGTTTCCGCACTTGCTTCATCTACCTCCACTCCCAGCCAATCTCTACGTCGACCGAAGTCACCTGCCTCGCAGAAGCTCTTCAAGGAGCCCAGCACCTCCTCATCGCTGTCTAGCAACGCCTTCCGCCGCACGGAGTAGATCACCCGCCGCTGCTGGTCCAGCACCTGGAAACCACCCAGGGGCGGTCATCGGAAAACGCAGCCGTGGTCCGAAGTGGGGGACTTAATGCTAGTTGGCCTTTCAGAAGCAAATAGAAGAGCCATGAAGAACCACAACCTAACCTCTCTCGACTCCTCATCTGCAAAAACATTGCCCGCCTCATCATATTTGAAGACATCCTTTCGAATGCCGAAGAAGAAGCTCTGCACCTGTGCCTGTGCCTCATTGACCGCTCCAGACACCAAGGGCGACACGATCGGGACATCGTCTGCACCACCCATATCGGCGGTCAGAAGCCGGATGCTATCACCTCCGAAGACGCGAAAGACCTTCCAGGTTGCAGCTCTGGCTGAGGCCAAGGGCTCAGGCCCAGGTGTTTCAATGACCTCTCACAACTCACTCAGAAACCACAGGGTCTGTACGGTTTTGATGACATCTCAACAAATACATGTTGCTTTCTGAGAAGTGCCCAGAGTGAAGTGGCCCGGTATTCTACCTATGAAAGAATGCCAAGCGATGAACATCCATCTCCTTTCCAAACAAAAATAGCACAACCCACTTCTCAGCATCCACCGACTCTCGGTCACCAAATCGGCCCTTATCCACTCGCAGGTGCACAGGCAGGCGCGCCGCGGTATGACCCTCAGTGACTATAGGAGTTCAGGGCTGTGGATTAAAGGACACACAGCAAACCCTGCTTCCATGGGTTGTTTTGCTCTCCCCTTTGAAAAGAAAAGGTGTCCACCCCATCCCACCACCCACATGAATTTCGCTTCCGCAGTGGTGTGCCTTGTCGGTAAGGCTCAAGTAGAAGCGAGAGCTTCCAGGGTCACCTTGTCGCCCCGCACGGCCCCGAAGCTGCTGGTCGATGCGTTGCGCGTGTTGCCGCTCGGTGCCCAGCACGCGCAAGCCCCCCAAAGCCTTTGCTGTCTCGCCTTCGGCACTGCAGCGGAGGGAGAGGTCCTCAAAGTGGGTCAGCAGGAACGAATGAGGAAGGTGGGAGGTGGGGTGTGGATCAAATCTTTGAAAGGGGGGCGAAGGCTGAATAGATTAGGATCCTGTCGTTGCCATAGAAAGCAATGAAGGATCGAGTGAAAGAGTGGAAAATGATTGTTTCAAGTGTCTACAGGCACCACAAGTGATAGGTGAGAGAGTAAGTATATCAAGTTAAATTACAGTACGTATATAGTATGTATTAGTGCTAGTGCTGTCTCGCACAATCATCTATCACGGTTTTGACCATTTGAAACACTGGTTAGGTGACTCTGCAAACAAGCAAATGGAACGCCTCACAGGTGCTTGATGATTGTTTCAGCATGCCCTAATGAACCAGCATGGTGGATTTGGGTACAATCTCTTGATGTCTTTGTAGATCAGTTCCGACGTCCCTCCTCACAGGCCCTCTGGTAGACCTCCTTCAAGGAGTTCAGGGAAGCCTGGAAGGCCTTCGATGAGACCTCATCTTGGATACCATCACAAATAGCTGCTTCTGCAAGTGACCACCGATAGTCTTCAGGAGCATTGGCAGCCAGCATCGCGGCGGCATCTGCCATCTCTTGTGCTAAGGCATGAGGCAGTGGGAGGCACAACTCCAGGGGCCTTTCTTGTTCCTCGCCAAAGGCTTTGCACAATGCTGCCTCCAAGTGCAGCTTTGCCATCGCCTCAGCCCGTTTTCGTCTGCGCTTCCACCTTCCACGTGGTGTGGTTTTTGTCCTGTGTATACTTCTAGCAAAAGCAAGCTACATCCAATGAGCCACGAAGGACGGGCACCTAGAAGCAATGGCCTCCAACCTAATAGCGATGGCCTCCAACGCCCTCGCTTCAACGCCCCTGGGCCTGGCCTTTCCATCACCGCCCAGGATGATATCCGTGCCCCGTCCAGCCATGTTGGTGGCAATCGTCACGGCCCCCAGGCGGCCGCCCGCTGCGATGACCTCCGCCTCGCGCGCGGCGTTCTCTGGCTTGGCGTTCAGCAGGTAGAAGGGCACTGAGGCGCCCCGCAAGCGTTCGGCCAGGAGCTCGGAGCCTCGGGTCGGAGGCTCGCAGGTGTTTCGTGTCCGCGGGAAGGCGCGGGGAGGGAGGGGATTGTTGGAATCCGGATTCGCGTGTGGGCTTTCGAGTTGGAAATCCTGAAATGACGGTTTTACCGGCAAGGGTTGTTGGCACACCTACAGTCCAATATACATAGCCCTCCAAAAACAGGTTTTCCGATGCTCACGGAGCCAGCCCATTTTTAACAGCTTTCTGTCGCGGATCAGTGGGGGCACGTCTCGGCAATCATGGCCTCCAACCTAATAGCAAAAATGATACCTTCATTGTCTTTTTTGTTTGCTTCTCTAATAGCAATGGCCTCCAACCTAGTAGCCATGGCCTCGAACCAAACTGTGGAACGGCAAATTGGAGACGTGCTCGGTATTGCTATCCATTGCTATTTATTGCCTATTGAAAAAGATCCAAAAAATAAACCAAAACCTGCACCACCCGAGATCATGGCTTCCACCTCTTTGCTGAACCGGTGTTTGAAGGGTGCTGTAGACATCGTTGCAAAATCAATCCATGTCAAAATAGAAGATTCTCTATCACATCCAAGCCGGTTGTTCTTCGTGCTGACTGAATAAAAAACGTGTTCCATCTACGACCCACCGAAAAAATATCTCAATCACATCCACAAGGCTCTCAATGCTGGTGGTGCCCACCAAGACCGGCCGCTTCAACTCATAGGCCTCACAAACAGCCTCCGTGACGGCACGCCACTTGCCCGCCTCGCTGGTGTAGATCTCGTCCTCCTCATCCATGCGCTGGCATGGCTTGTTGCAGGGCACCGGGCGAACCTGAGCGTCTCATGGCACATCGAGGGAAGAGGGTCGAATGGCACTTGGTGGGGCGATGTTTCTGCGGTTCTGGACCTCCATCTGTGTTTGACACAATAAAGGCCCGGGTGTATTTTGCACGTTGCTGTAGAATCTAGAATGTGTATGCAAGGTTTCGTGGAAGATGCTTTGTACCCTGGAACAACACATGTGTGCTGGGAAGCCGCGGGAAAGGTGGGGTGAAGGAACGCAAGGTGTGGCAGGTGCAGACGTGGCAAAACCACAAAGAAACAAAGGGAACTCCTCAATGAATTTCATGAAGTCAGAAGCTTATGGAGCCTTATTCCTCGCGGTGTTGACCTGTAAGTAAGCCAATTCCAGAAGTAGTGGGTGTGCACGCAACAAGAACATGCACGCCAACGCTCTGCATCGGCCCAACGAAGGACATATAGATGAAACCCATTGGTTGTGGCCAGTGAAACCCATTGGAAATTAGCGCCAGATCCTGCAGAGCGTTGGAGAGGCCAGTGGAACGAGACTGTTGATACCTTGGCCAAGAATGTCATCAGAGTTCAACATGCCGACTTGCTGGATTCTTTAACAAAGCTGTCCAAAGAGCGGGTGCGACAACGAGCTTTGTTGGGTGAGTTTTTGCGTTTTTGGATCGATGCCAACAGCAGGATCATGGGCGCCAATAAACCTGATACCGGTATTGTTCCTTTTTCTCCTGACTTTGGTCAGTACTTGGTTCGCGGCTCTGGGTACTTTCCTTTGGAGGATGTGGAATGTGGATCTTTGGTGGATTTTCCGTTCGGTGAGAGGTTTTCGAAATTGTTCCTGGATTGGTTTCGATCCATACCATGGCTGGACATTTGTTGGAAGTCTACATCTCCTTCTCCCTGGCCACACGCCACACGACACCAGTCTATGACAGAAGAAAGCGGTGACGCGTCGTAGTGCTTACATCATGCGCGATGAACCGAGTCGCGCTGATTTGGTCCGTTCAGATTTGAGCTCTCAGCTCAGAATCGTTGTTAAGTTCTTTAAGTGGTTGGGATCCACTTTACAGTTTGGTCCCTTTTCATGTCATAGAGGTGCTTTGAAGAAGTTGGGGTTTCATAACCCCACTGTGTACTTCATGAAAATGTTGCAGCTTCCGAATCACGATGAAGTTGCCAAGTCTCTTTGGGATTTCTTTCATGCGGGGCGACGTTCTACTTTAAGCATGAAAGGATCGTTGCGGCCTTGATGGGCCTTGTTTGAGGAGTGTGTTCGCCTCACGCGAAGCTGGGGGTGACCACGGCAGATCGTCGACTGCATGAAACCGCAAAGGCCAAAAACCCATTGGTTGTGGGGTCCCCCTTTAGTTCAAGCAAACAACAGCCGTTCCGGGCATCTTCGGTCCTTTTCGAGCCGGAGAAGCCTCCAAGCCATAGATGCTCTGAAACTCTTCGGCTTCTGCCGACGCCGTGCCGGTCATACCAGCCAACTTCTGGTACATCCGGAAGAGACATTGGTAAGAGATTGAGGCCAAGACAATAGCTTCCTGAGTGGTTCACGCTCATGTAGACTAACAATGTTCTTTTGGGAATGAGGGGTCAGTTTGGTACCATGCGAGATATACTTGTTGTTGATCAACCAACCAATAGTAAAAGGCCATCTGTGATCTAGACACCATGAATGGGACTGTAGAACTCAACATCTGGAGGGACCTTCCTTCAGTGTTGTGTCATCTGCTTTGAAGACGTGACGACTTGTGCCCGATCACCTCTGGTTTCCAAGTGGAGCCAAACTTTTGCCAAGGTCAATCCAACTAGCAAACTGGACATAATTCTGAGCTGTATCGGCCTCCTCTACTGGGGCCAAAATTGCCTATGTTTCGCGTCCTATTTCCGCTAAGACAGCGGCGAAGATAGTTCTTTCACATCCACGACCAATGCTAAGAACAAAGAAACCAACCAAAAATATACCTGCATAGCCCCAAACAGCTTAGTCGGCAAGAATTGTTGTTGTGGAGGTGGGCAGCCGCAGCCCCAGCCCGAAAGCAACGTAAACAGCACGAGAGTAGCAGGACAACAGAAAGACCAGAGGAGGGCATGGGGAGGACAACAGAGGACAAAAGGATGAGGGAAGGAAAGCAACACGAACACACCAAGAAGACCGAAGAAGGGCAAGCTGTGACTGGACAAGGACAACATGAGGGGAGCACACCAAGAGGAGAACCAGAGGAGAAGAGGGGCAAGAGAAAGACAAGACGACGACGAGAGGAGTACTGTATGACTGGAGATAGGCTGGCAGCCGCGGCCAATGAACACCTGAAGAAGGACAACAAGAAGGCAATAGAATAAAATGAGGAGGACAGGGCCGATAAGATTGTGACTAGTGACTGGAGGAGAAGAGCGGACAGGGCTTGCCGGCGGGGCCTGACACTATGGCCAGCTTCTTTTTGCAAACGAGAGAACAGCAAGAGGAAAAGAGGAGGACAAGAAAAGGACAAGGAGAGGGCAAGGAGAGCACAAAAAGAATACAACAAAAGGACAAGGACTGGAGACGGGCTAGCAGCTGCGCCAAGCTGGAAGAAGGACAAGACGAGGACAACAAGAGGACAAGAAGAGAAACGAAGACAACAAAAGGACACGGTCTGGCGACCGGCTGGCAGCCGCGGCCAAGCTGCATACCACAAGAAGGACAGGAGGAAACCAAAAGAATAGAGACAACGGCCTGTCATCGGTCAGAGCTTCCTTTTGGATCTCCACCTTCTCTTTGGCCTCGATCGCCTGTTGCAGCCCATCACTCCAGGATCTCCCATCCACAGGGCGTCCCGTGTACTCATCCACCACCACCACCGCGTTCTCGCGGACGATGTACTGCTGATCCCGCTGGTAGAGCTCCTTGGCCGTCAGCGCGTTCCTTGGGAAACGGGAAACGGAGAGAAACGGAGAGAAGGCGCTGAGAGCGCAGGGATTGGCAATTGGTGGAGCCTGAAAGCAAACAGTGAAGCGAAAACAGAACATGGAGAACATCACGAGTGGTCACCTGTGGTTGTATTTGGATACCGCCCCACCAGGGCGTCGCGGACTGTGTGCAGAAACGTGTTGCCAGAAGGTAGTTTATGGGTGGTGGGATAATGACGTTCATGTTACATGTGGGGGGTTGTTCCTTTTTGCAAGAAATCATGGCAAACATTTACTCTGGTTATAGGAAATTACCAGAACTTTGTGGTTGCAGTTCCACGGTTTTGTGTTTGGTTTTGTTGTGTCGTTTGTGCGGTGTTGTGGAACCACCACATAGGGATTTGCAGTGTCTGGGAGTCTCGGATCCATCTTTCGCTTGAACCCTTTTTGTTAGATCAATATATTGATATCTTTAAGGTGCCCTTGTTGGATGACACCCTGAATTTTGTGTGCAAACATGTTGAGCATTTGTTCCGTTGTTAGTTGCAGTTCTGTCGAGGGAGAGACCCCAATCGAGTTTCGACAAGTGCACTTTTGGTTGTGTCTCGACGTTTGCTTCGCTCACGCGCAAGGCGAGGAAAGATGGCGTTACTTGACCTGTGAGTCTTTCGTTTTCATAATTTGTTGGTGCTAGCTTTTCCTCAAAAGGTCTCAAAAGCGATACTCTGCAGCATGCATATCATTGTTTGCACATGTTCAGCACTCACAAATTCAATCGTTCAGTGAACCCGCAGCTGATCTGGCAGTACAGAATTCCTGCAAAGGATGAGCCGGTGAAACACTTGGCAAAGGCGTTGCTCAACTTCCAGAAAATGTGATGAGAAAAACTTGAGATGTGGCATAACTTTTGCCGGTCGAGTTTCAACAACGCTCCGAAACCTGCATGTTGAACGCATTTCGACCTTCAAAACGCGCGACGCCTGAGTGGGGTCGATCCCTTGTATTTGGGCATCTAGCTTCTTGTTTCAACCAACTCATACCAACCGCATTTATCTTATTATATAGCTTGGAGACCAGTATCTGTGGATCAGGGCTACAGCTTTCTCTATTGAGAGTGAATCAAGAGCATTAAGAAAGGGCTCCAAAAAGCAGGGTGGCAGGCTGAATTTACAAACTTTGTATATACAACTACATAGGATGGCCAGGCTCTTTGACGTGCCTGTTTCACACCAAAGACGTCTTTGCGGCGCTTTATCGTCACTCAAAAGCTTGAGGGTCGCCCGCTCAGGGAGAGGTTTCCGGGAGGTAGACTACATCCAATACCAGACGTTCGTCGGTCAGATCAATCATGCTTGGCACCCGCTGCAATCTTTGGTCTCCTTCTGGGAGAAGTCCCGGGGTGAAAGATGTTGAAACCATCGAGAAGACAAAAGAGACGCCGAGGTCCCCGAGCTCCGTCCGTCTGCGACAGACGCGTCGCCATCTGCCAAGCTGCACGATGAAGGGTGCCCAGGGGTCTTGGGGATCGAAGAGATCCTCCCGCTCCAATGCTCGACTCGCCAGCTCCTGGAGGGCCGCTTCGACGTGAACAGGAGCGAGTTGGGAAGAGCTGTGACAAAAAGCTCAACCAAGAGGAAGACCTCCAAAGTATTGAAACTCCGCTTTGGACTCGCCATTGAGGAGAAGAGTGTTTCAAACGGTATGGTCCACTTCCCTCTTTGCTCGATAAGGGTGACCTATGAATCTCACCAGAAGAAACACACCCCAATTTAGAAGATTCCAAATCCACCCACTCAGCCAGCTCCTCGCCCTGCTCCGTCAGCATGCAAGTCTTCTCCTTCTCCAGCACCGTGTAATGGATATCCTTCTCCAAGCTGGATGCGACCTCCTCAGTTGGCAAAATCAGCTGGTGGACTCATATCCGGTGCAACATCAGGAAACTATGTTGTTTTTTCTGCAGTGTGATGGTACTTTTTCTCGAAATCCATGGATATGACACCAATTTCACATGAGCGCATACATGAGCCAAACAAATGACCAACTCTGACTCTGACATGCTAAAATGTGATGCCCTCCCAGCTCAGCTGCAAATTTTCGTAAATTGTTCATGTTCGCCTCCTTCACGAGATCTTCAGGGCATTCCCCCCACTGGGTGTTTTTAAGGGAGGCGAACAGGGCCTCGAGTCTTGATCTAAATTCGGGGAGCACGGCTGGATCACCCTCCCAAGCCGGGGAGCACGGCTGGGACCTTGGGATGAAACCGTTGTGCAACGAAAACCACTTTCGAGGTGAGCACAGCTACCGAGTCTCCAGAGCTGTGCTATACTTCTCCGAGGGGATCTCTGCTTGCGCGGACACCACCAAGGGCGTACGCCCTTCGTCGATCAGCACTGAGTCTGCTTCATCCACGATGGCACAGTTGAAGGGATTCTCCTGAAATGAAGAAATGGAACTTCCACCTATATGATTACTCAAAAAGATATGTTAAGGAAGGGATGGAGAAAGGACTCCTGAAACGACCACATTCACAGAAAAACATCGCTTAAGCGCAGGGTCCATATTTGTGTTTCCCCACCTATTTCGCATCAACAGTAGCGCCATGGGCCCGCTTCATAGAGGAGCCATGTTAGCTAGAAAAGGGTCATGCAGCCAACTACTCGGGTGGTGGCGTCATGCCATGAACAAAAGGGACCTTCCACCGTTCCTATCGGCCAAGCCAAGTGTTGGAGGAGGTCAAGTTCGCCCATCCTGTGATCTGATGGTTTGGGAATGCACTTCGCTCCTGGCGATGTCTCAACTCTTCTGGAACACATGCCAGCTGATCACGGAGGTAATCAAAGCCCAGCTGTTGATTCGTCACATACGTCACATCGCAGCGGTAGGCCTCGCGCTTTTGAGCTGAAGACATGTCCGCCTGGATGACGCCCACGGTCAGTCCCAAGAATCTCAAGACCTCTCACGGCGATTGGAAATACGAAAACGGGGCACATTGCATCAATTCAGGAAGCCTAAGCTGGCCATGTGCCTTTACAAGTCTTCCCAAGCACTAGGACATAATTCAGATGTCGGATCTAAATCACCAAGTCTGAGCAGACTCTGTCGCCAGAAATACATTCGCCACCGTGGACCCTCCACACTCGCCAACCCTGGCCTGTCCGACCCAAGCAGCATCCCGGCGAGCCAGGTAATCATTGGTGGTGACCACATGGACCCCATGTCCCGTCAAGGCATTCAGAAAGGCCGGTAGAATGGCCACCAACGTCTTCCCTTCACCCGTGGCCATCTCAGCCACTTGCCCTCGATGCAAGGTGATGCCTTAGAGATAGGTTATTATATACTCATAGCTTGGTTAAAAACAAAAAAAGCTGTCTGTAGCCGGTAGCCACAGGTGTCTCAGTCGTAAAGCAATGGAATGACCAAACTACCAAATCCATCCAAATCCAATGTCCATAGTTTTAGGCCACACCCACTACCCACATCTCCGTTTGTTTCCAAGCGGTTAACCCTCCATTGATGTCGCACACCCTCTCTTCTGTCTGTGCAAGTCGCCTCCCAAGATTTGCACATCGAAATGTCGCAGCTGCAGACTTCGTTTGGAGCCTTCCCGCACCAAGGCGAAGGCTTCCGGCAGCAGCTCCTCCAGCGTCTCCCCAGCGCGTGCCCTCGCGCGCAAAGCACCGGCCTGCGCCAACAGCTCGTGATCGGTCAAGGAGGCCAGTCGCGGCTCCCAGGCATTCACCTGACTGGGTCAACAAGGCCACAAGACTCAAGACCTCGCAGGCACAATTACTCCCAAATCAGCTATATAAAGGCAAAAACATCGTTGCACTTCCCTTGTTCACATGGTCAACAACTGCAGTTCGGTCTCTTCCACCCGCATCGGCCTCTTGGAGTTCCGCGTCCAACTCTCGCCGCAGCTTCTCCGCTGGTGCCTCCACCAGCGAGGAGGCCCACCCAAAGAGCCGCCGCGCCGTCCGACCCCGTCGCCGCGCCGTCCGCGGTGAGGCAGCGAGGAGGCACAGCGAGGCCGATGTCCAGCACCGGAGCGGTGCACCGGACCGAAGGAGCGCGGTGGCACCACCACGCACGCTGCAAAGAACAGTGGGACCGTGTCCAGATGACGGGGGAGGAAGCTTTGGCAGCGCTTGAGGTGCCTGGGGCTGTAGCGCCATGGCACTGAAGAAATGTCTAAAGCATGATCAGCATGGTTTATCAACCTCTGCGCTGCCTGGCGACCATTTGGATCTTGGCAGTCTTCAAGTATGTATATGTCGCGTAGTTTCAATCCAAACGCATGTCTACCTTTTGGATCCTTTTGGAGATTGTAGAGAAAGCGCAAACCAGCGCATCTTTGTCCGCTTCAGAGCCATTTTCATGTTTCACAATAAATACCTATATACTGTGCGGCAATATATTTTTGCATCAATATTCACCAACATTGATTACCAAACATGGTTTGACTCACTCAAGTGCTTCACTCAGCGTCTGAACCACATCTTGCAGCGGTCCGCAGCTAGTTCTCCCAAACATCAATCGAAGGAATGCCCCGACGGCCACCTTTTATTGTTTTGAGCACACTCCAAAAAGCATCAGGGAGGAACGGGAGGAACTATCATGAGCTTGCCCCATCAATTTAGGCAGTGTGAAATTTGACGCACATGAATGACACTGCCGACAGTGCATAGTATGTTTCGAGCGTCCACCTGAACTCTGCCGGCTGAATGCATGTCATGCATTGGATCTGAAAAGTAATTCCACCGCAGTGTTGTTTTTGCAATTTGCAGCCAGCATTCTGAATGCAAAAGCATGCCAGCACAAGAGACAATGAACTCCGGAAGCGAGCATCACGAGAGTTTTCTGCTCACGATGCCCTCCACTTTCCTCTTGTGGTGGTTTCTTTGGGGCACCAACATGTATTCCCAGCCAAACGCTGGTTTTACGCAGTGGGTTTGGGCATCCTGACAAAGGTCGTGGCACAGCGAACTCTCACCAGGTCTTTCAGGGGTGTCTTGAAACCTTCCACTCAGTATATTGCACTTGTTACTACTAGCGTGGCACTTGTTACTACTAGCGTGGCACT